TTTGAAAACTTCAACAAAGCTTTAAACAAGACTAAGAAAAACAAGAGAGAAAATAAAAATCAAAGGAGTCATTACAGCTGGTGCTACAGAAATGTAAGTATTCATAAACTATTATGAGTAACTATACATGAACAAATGGAATAACTTTGAAGAAATAAATACATTTCTGGATACATAATGTACCAAAATTGAATTATGAAGAAAGATAATCTGAACATTCCTATAAGAAATATGGAAACTGAGTCAGTACTAAAGTCTGACATGAAAGAAAAGGCCAGTATTAAGAAGTCTCTCATCAAAGAAAACGTCTCGTGGCTTCAGCACTATATTCTGTCAAACATTTAAAGAAAAGAACTAATGCCATTTCTTCTCAAACTATTCTAGAAAATTAAAGAGGATGGAATACGTCTAACTCGTTTCTACACCACCAGCACTTCCTTGAGACTGACAAACAACAAAAAAAGAAAAAGCTAAAGGCCAGTACCTCAAATAATCATTTCAATAGATGCATAAAACTGACAAAATTCAACATCACTTCATTATAAAAACTCTCAAGAAGTTAGTTATGGAAGGCATGTATCCTGACACGTTAAAGCACTGTATGACAAACCCACAACTAACACTGTATAGAGATGAGAGACACTGACAGCTTTTCCTCTAAAATCTGGAGGATGCCCACTTTCATTACTGCTATTTGACACGGCGCAAATAGTCACAGCCAGAGCAATAAGGCAAAAACACATACAAAATGAAAAAACCATTTAAATTATTCTTATTTGCAGATGACATGATCTTATATGTAAAAAGCTCTAAAACTTCCATACACATGCAAAAAAAAAAAACCTAGAAAAACTCAATTTAGTAAAGTTTTAGAATTCAAAAGCAGGATGCCATAATCAATAGTATTTCTATATTCTCATACTGAATTATAAAAAATAAGAAAAAGAAATTTTAAAAAGCAATTCCATTTAAATAGTTACCAAAAAAAAAAAAAAAGACGTAGCATATAAACTTAACCAAGGAAGTAAAAGATTTCTACATGGGAAAAAATCCCATGCTCATGGATTGGAAGACTTAGATATTGTTAAAATATCCATACTACCCAAATCATTCTACAGTTTCAGTGCAATCTCTATCAAAATTTTAATGACATTCTTCAGGAAAAGAAAAAAATCCTAAAATTAATGTGGAACTGCAAAAGACCCTGAGTAGCAATGCAATCTAAGGCAAAAACAGCAAAGCAGAAGCATTGCTGAATCTGAATTCAAGATATACCACAAAGCTACAGTAAATATAACAGCATGGCACTGACATAAAAGCAGACACAAAGAATAGCCCAGAAATAAATCCATATATCTATAGCCAGCTGATTTGTGACAGAAGTGCCAATAAATACACATTGGGAGAAGGACAGTCTCTTTAATTAATAGGTTTGGAAAAACCTGGATATCCACATGGAACGGAGTGAAAGAAGACCCTTTGTCTTTCCATATAAAAAAATCAACTCAAAATAGATCAAAGACTTAAGAAAAGATACTATAAGACTAAAACATAAGATCATAAACCATTCATAATATTAGACTGAGCAAGGATTTTTTTATAAGAACTCAAAAGCATAGGCAACAAAGCAAAAATAGATAAATGGGATTACAGCAAATTAAAGAGCATCTATACAGCAAGGAAAACAACAGAGTGAGGAGAGAACTTACGGAGAGAAAATACTTGCAGCCTATATAACTAGAAATTGTTTTATCCAAAACATAAGGAGAGAGAGAGAGAGAACATGAGGAGCAAGAGCACAAGCTCAGAAAAAAGAAAAGAGGGAAGAGAGGAAGAGAGAAAAGGGGAGGGAGGGAAAGGAAAAAGATCTATTTGCAAATGGGCAAAAGACTTGAATAGCTGTTTTTCAAAAGGCATACAAATGGCAAGAGGCAACAGCATCCACTAATCATCAGGGAAACAAATCAAAGCCATGATGAGATGTCACCTCGCACCTGTTGAAATGGCGACACACTGACAGGGAGAAAACAACATGCATACACTGTTAGTGGAGAATATAAAATCGGAAAAATTGAATAATTAAAAGTAGAAATTCTGGGCAAGAAATTTAGCTCAGTGGCTCAAGTGTTTGCCTGGTAAGTGCAAGGACATGAGTTCCATCCCTGGTACCAAAAAAACAAAAAAGAAATACCAAATGATCCAATCTTACTATTTTACATATGCAAAAGAAGTAAAATCAGTATATCAGATATCTATATTCCCATGAGTTTTGCAGCATTCATTCAACCATTTACAATAGCCAAGTTAGAGAATCAATTTATGTCCATCAAAAGATAAATATGTAAAGAAAATACATGTTTTAGATACATATGTTATATACACAGTGGAATACTACTCAACCATAAAAAGGGTGAAATCCTGTCATTTCTGACAATGTTGATAAACCTAGAGGACACTATGTTAAGTGAAAAACCCTAAAACAAAAATACCAGTATTCAATATTGTATGATACACCAGTGTTACTAGAGCCTGGGGAAGGGAGGAGAAATAGATGATAGGGAGATATTGATGTTCTGCTGTATCATGGGATGACTGTAATGTGTATTTCAAATATATATGATTTTGAATGTTCTTACCACAAATACGTTTGAGATGAAGATAGGGTAATGACCCCTATTTGATCATTCCGCCACGTGTACTATAACACAACATCACCCGTTGCACCTTGTAAGCATATGCAACTGTTGTCAACTAAAATTTTCAAAAATAAGAAAACAAAGATCCTGAAAGTATAGACTTTTAACAGAGCAAAAACTAATTTAGAGGTGAGACACCTTGAGGGTAGGCAGTGACCACCTGGAGACTCTGGAGCAGAGGAAGCCTGAGCAATCAGCGGATTCTTCTTCCTTGCCGACTCCTCTTCCTTTTCTTTTGCAGTTTGGGTCCTCAGGACACCTGCACCTTGCACGTGTTCTTACAGGTGTGTCCAAGCCCAGAAGCCACTTGCTCTCTCTTTTTTCAGTTTTATAACAAATCATAAAGTTTTATGACTGATAATATTAAGTATATGTTTTATATGCCGCCCGACACAGTTCTCCATTCAGTGTGGCTCAGGCAAGCCATATGTTAGTGACACCAGATACAGTCCCTATCCAGTCCTCTTCCTGCCAACAGGTCAACAGAGGACAGGCATTTGGTATAAACGTGCTCATAAACCTCAGATTGCTTCCCCCAATCGTGGTCACTTTATTGTATCCTTTTGGGTTGGGCCCCAAAAAGGAAAATTAAAGTTGAATTACCTTAAAATTAAAATGGTTTCCATCTCACCTTGCAGGTTTTTAATCCTACACGGACACTGCCACCAGCTAGATGCTAGGCCGGCCACCCTGTCTCTCAAGGACTCCTTCACATTACACACTCAGATAAAATACTGTTCTTAACCCAAACTGCTCATTTTAAAAATTTTACTAACTATTTTATTTTGAAATAGCTTCAGACTTATCGGACAATCATCAGGATAGTCACTCCCTTCCCCTGGGTGTTTGTATTGTGCAGTACTGGGGATGCCATCTAGTGCCACATGTACACTTGGCAAGCACTGTGCCCCTGACTATGTCCCCAGCCCTCCGATTGTTACCATGTTGTAACACATGTGGTAACACATGCGGTAACACAGTTGTACTCTTTCTCCGCCATTGTTCAAGCTGTCATACACACACAACCATTATCACAAGACTCTGTGTGAAACTTAACTTCATAATTCTAAAATTTTAACACAGCTCTCATGCATCGTATTAAAATACCTGACTTTAAAAGGCATAAGGCAGAGCCAGGAATATAGCTCAGCAGCACAGCACATGCTTGGCAAGTGCAGGGTCCTGATTTTGATTCCCAGTGCCAAAATAAATAAAATGAAATGCATAGGGCCCTTTCTCCTTTAGCCTCCTCTGATGTACGTAAGAGCCTGTTAATCAATAGAATGATGTGTCACCATTTTCCGGGCAAGGAAACAGACTCAGGAGTGACCAATGATCTGCCCAGACAGAGCCGAGGATCCTGGTTGCAAGTCCACTACCACCCTAATCGGTGCCTTATGCCAGATGTTCTCTCAATGTCATAAGGACAGTAGAAAGCTGAAAGTGGACAGTATTCAAGCAGACCTACGGGCCCCCCTTCCTTGCTCTCTAGCTTTTCCTAGAGCTTCCAGAAAAGCTCATCCCTGAAGGCCCTTTATACCTCATCAACACTCGCTTCTTACTCAGATTGCAAAGCCATACATAACACCCTCCCAAGAATCCTCCTTGGCTCTCAGCCAGGTCAAATTCCATTGCTCTGCACTCTCATATAAATATGTCCCTTTCTTCATAGCATCTACCCTTCTCATTACAGATACAGTCACTTAGATAGTCATATAATTAGCACCATATTGTAGCCCAAGCGAGACAGGCTACTGAGGGTAGTGGAGTCTGGGCCAAACTGGGCATCTCCTTCTGTATCCAAAGCACTCTGGCTGCCTGTCACTGAAATGCAAGCAGGCAGGCTCAGTTTTGCCAGATATCCTGGTTTTCAAAGAAGCCAAAGATTCAAATTCTTAAGTGAGATCCCCTGATTTTTTTAAATGTTGGTATTTACTTTACTTTTTAAAGAACATATAGGGTAATCAAAACTTGCCTGGGGACAGGATTTAGCATACAGGCTCATAGTTTGCCTCATCCCATCTGGACCTTAACCTTGTGGAAAGAAAGGACCAGCTTGCAGCTGACTGCCAGCATACCCTCAGGGCTTCATTATAAGCCTGGCACAGAGAAAGCACTCAACATACACAAACAGTTGAGTGGACGGATGGGTCAGTGAGCGGGCGGGTGGACGCACAGATAGACCAGGAAATGAGTAAGTCCTCGTGGTCTTCAGACCACAAGAGTTTCAGACACCCTGCCTAGGAATTATTCATGCCACCTGCACCACCAGTGCCATGACACTACCTCTTCTGCCCTCTGCAGAGAATCCGTGTCTGGGGGAGGTTGTCCGAGAAGCAATTCACCGTCAGAAAGGTTACACGTCATGTACCACAGCCTCCAAAGTGCCCATAATGGAATGTCGCGGGGGCTGTGGGTCCCAGTGCTGCCAACCCATCCGTAGCAAGCGACGGAAATATGTCTTCCAGTGCACAGATGGCTCCTCATTCGTGGAAGAGGTGGAGAGACACTTAGAGTGTGGATGCAGCCCATGTTCCTAAGCCCCTCTGCCCGCGGGCCCACCCACCGCCTCTCAGACTCCAGCTTGGTGGGGCTCGGGACAGCCACGGGGGCCCCTTAAAGATTCAGAATGAAGGAGAGGAAGAAAAAAAAAAAGAGAAGAGAATATTAAGTATATTGTAAAATAAAAACAAAAAATAGAACTTATTTTTATTATGGAAAGTGACTATTTTCATCTTTTATTATATAAATATATCACACCGTCTGAGTATATGTACCATATAGTGAGTTATTTTTACTGTTTTGTGATGTGTAATTTTTTGTTTTTATAAACAGCTGTTTTAAAATTTTAAGACAAAAAAAGACAAATAAAAAATGTTTTAAACAAAAGGATAAAGAATAAAGAAATGAGAGCCTGTCTGAGGGAGGAGGAGGAAGTTTTTCATGATTGTGAGGCACTCACATGACAGCAGAAACCAGGACCTGCTTACTGAGCTCAGGAAAAAGGAGGAAGAGGAAGACAGAGAAGGCAAACACTGTTCTTGGTTTCTTCTTTTTAACTCCTTTTTTTCTCTGACCCTAGAAGCACCCAGTTTTTAAAGGTTCTGGTTGTCTCTCTCCATGATGCCCATTGCTTCCAGGAGAAGGCAACCCCAGCCTTCCCAAATCTTACTGCAGCTCAAAACAATTGCTTTCTGTCTGCCGTGGGCACGCTGCAAGGTCTGGGCCACCAGAAGACCCTCTTTCCCCTTCCTCGAAGGCCCTGGTTTCCATTAGCAACCTGACCACCTAGATCTTGCCAAACAAGCCTATTATACCAAATGTTAAAATAGCTGTGCTTTTGTCTGTAAAAAGAAGGTACTCTTGGGTGAGGTGAAGGAAGAGGGTTAGGGTCACACAGCTCCCTTGGCCCCTTCTTTCCCTCCAGTTAATTTCGCATTGGAGTGAACACCAGGAGAGCAGACAGTCTGATTGATGCTGGCGTGAAGGGCCAGGAGCCAAGCCTGCGTGCAGTACTGGGATGGCCAACAGGACCTCCAGGCCACCATCACAGTGACAAACTGCCCATCTGCAATGCTGTCCAGTGCATATCTGAACTCTACTCTCCTCCTGTCCCTGGGGAGAGTAAAGCAATGAGCCCTGTTTCATAGATAAGGAAACCTAGGCTCTGTAACATGCCAGAACCCATCCATCTGCTATGTGGAGGACCCAAAACTGGAATCCAGATGCAAAACTCTAGATTCTCCTCTAGAATGGCTGAATGCAGGAGATTCAGGCAGGTTAAGCTCATCAATACAGCCCTAAGTAAAAGAGAAAGCAGATACCTTCTCCTCATTCTTTCCCTTTTTATTCTCCCTTTTATTCAGAAAAATACTAAATAGAACACGGACTTGGGTATCTAGGAAACATGAGTAAAGGCAGCCTGTCCAGCCTCTGACCAGTTCTTAAATGACCTACCCTGTCCCTGTCACCCTACATCTCTCCTCCACCTTCATTTGCCCCCGGAACCCCATCAGTTAGTGCATGTCACCCCGGAGCTCAGCTCTTCCCACCACTGCCTGGCTCGCATCATCCAACCCTCCTCTGCTTTTATCTCAGCAAGGACAGTTTGGAATCTTTCAGCTCTGAGTGTCCCCAGAACAGCTTTGTTGCTCTGTGGGGACCAATGGTGGGCCAAAGACTCAAGAGGGGAAAAAAGAAAGATAGAGGAATAGAAGGCAAGGTGAAGACAAGCAGGGAGGGATTTGCTAGAGAAATTTACTTTAAAATATGCATGTGGATATGTATCATGTTCTGGGTTCTGTATCTTATTATGGATTTGTTTAGAGACTTCTTTAGCATTAGCTACATTATATCAGATATTCTATTTACTATATATATTTATATACATTCAATTCTAAAAGTAATCTTACGTTAAAAACATTATTGATCCATTTTACAGTTAAGCAGACTGAAACACAGAGAAGTTAAGGAATTTATCAAAGAGAAGATGCTAATAAATTGCAGAGCTAGGATTTGAACACAGGTTGTCAGGCTCTAGAACTTGCTCACTTAACCATTAAAGTGCTCTGCTTCTTTTGAGAGAGAAACATATCCCTCCTTTAAGGATCTTACAGTCTGAGGCAGGAACAGGGATGAAAATGTACAATTACGTATTCCCTGATGGCAGTTTAAAGTGCTGTGTAGAGGAGGGAATTTCCAATCCTGGGTCTTGAAGGTTGAACAGCAGTTTGCCAGAACCAGGAAGGAAAGATGAATTTTCCCTGGAACAGCCTAATAAACAGCAGTAAAACATGAAAAGGTCTGACATGTTTGCCAGCCAGAGGTCCTAGCAAGAATACGAGATGCACACTGGGAAACAGAAACAGGGTAGATGTGAAGGCAGAGTTTAAACCACAAAGAGCTACACGTGCCAGGCCAGGCCAGGAAGAGTCAGAGTTTCAGCAGAGGAAAAGCAAGACAAGGTCTGACGGGAGACACAGCTAGTAGCACCCGAAGGAGCGTCTCTAGCACCCGAAATGGCCTCAGCGCGGTAGGTGTTCACTCTGTGGCTAGAAAACACTGATTTCAAGGTGAATCCCAAGTCTTCTTGGCAGCTCAGCTTAGTCCCACAAAGGGAGAGCTGGGATCTGGCTAACACCCCTCCCCTCACCCACGCACCCCCACCAGCCCTGGCAGGTCCACCCGATCCTGATTGACTACCAACACCCTTAGCCAGCCTCTCTCCACCCAGTGCAAAGTCCAGTCAGCTTCCTACTTTAAGAGCCTCACCCAGGGCCTCTGGTGTCCTGGGAGGACTTGCCAGGCTGGTGGCTTTCCCTCTACTTCCCCAAGGATCTTAAATCCTCCCTCTTCCACGCACCTTGTGGGCTTATTCCTGAATCCAGCTACAGTCCACCAAAACAGCAAAAAGTCCTGATTCTATCTTGGTGCAGCCTGCAGGGAGTAGATTTGGGGCCTTCCCCTCAATTTTGGAAGCATTAACTTTAAGAAATGTCAAATGCAAAGAACAATTTTTAAAACTCCTTCCCAAAATGAAGTATCTCTAACAAAGTTAAAAACTCACTATGTCCTTGAATAGTGAAAATTCTCAGTACAGAAAACCCATGGACAGGAAGGCATCTGTTGGTTAATTTGCACCCTATAAAGTATGGTTTAGTGTTTGTGTAGATGCACATGTGCCGAAAGGGGCTACTCAGCTCTTTCCCCTGAGCAGCACTAGGAAAGGAGAAAGTCACTTGAGAGCCCCTCAAGTACCTGATGAAATGATGTATTTAAAAGCTCTGTAAAATATAAACTAAAAACCTGAAATGTAAGATGTTGTTATTATTGTTGTTATTGTTGCTATGACTGACATGCCAAAAGCCCTTTTAAAAGATAACTTTGCCTTTTCAGTCTCATTAAAAGGGATCTGATGCTTCAGAAAGATGAAGACCTGACAAGGGGGAAGGAAGCAAACGGCACAGATAGTAAGGCAGACCTCCCAAGGCCAGAGAAAGAAAGGCAATAGCAACTGGGTGACCCTCAGGCAATCAGAAATGGCCAAGTCAGGAATGCAGAGACAAAGCTATCCCCAAACTGCACCCTGAGGCCAGGCAATCACCCATTTTCTCTGCTGGAAGCAGAAGGCCAAAGCAGCAAGTGACCTGATCCTCAAAGACTGATAGGATCTCAGATATTACAGTTCAAGGAACCATGAGTCACTTGAGACAGAAAATGAAAAAGTGACTGTATCACAGGCCAAAGTCATGCAGTCAGCTAATTAATGTCAGAGGTGGAGAGACACCCAGGTGTCAACACAGGCAAAGCACTCCAGTTGCATCATAGTGGACATGTGGGCAGACAGAAGCCTGGTATAGATCTTGCAACCCCAAAAAGCATCCTCCATCTTCTGCAGTTCGTATCCCCAGTGCAGTCTCAGACATCCCGGGAGCTGGAGGCACAGTCTGCCTTGGTGGTATCTGCCTTGGTAGTTTCCACCAGGGAACAACTGGTCAAAGATGCCAGCTGTCAGGACCAGGAAAGGCAGAACGGGGCATTTGGCAAAGCTTATTCTCTAACTCAACAATAGATTCAGTAGGAAATTTTAAAGACTTCTTAAAGCAGTGTTATAGTGCTCCTTTCCCAGAATGGAATAATGTACATTTGCATTTTTTTCTCAACAGATTGTCATATTCTGATATCATTTAAATAAATGGGTGAGTCACGAAGGGGCTACACAATGCTCTTGTGAATACTGCAACTCTGCCCTGCTGTATGTGTGTTTTATTTTCATCCCTGATTTTCATTTTCCTCTGAGTAGGGTAGTGAACCTACGGCTTGCTTGCCACCAAAAGCTGTTTCTTACAGCAAAAGCTCTGAAAGTTTTACCATCACTCCCCTAGGACAAAGAGTCTTTACTCCTGGGTTTTGGGCAACTGTGGTATAGAATCACACTCCTTGTTTGGGTCCTGTGACTAGGTCAGCTAGGTCATTACATGAATTGGTCACTAAATGAGAACTGTACATAGTAGGTATATTAAATATACAGAACAAAGAAATGATCAAAGAAAACTCCACTTGATGACTTTGCTCTTATTTGTATAATTCATACACGCAGTACTGTAATATATACTAGAACATAAACCTATACTACTGTACAGTGCAATCAGCAAAAAGTACAGTACTGGATAAACAAGATGTGTAAAAAAAAGACAATGAGGCTCTATTGTCAAGATGTACAGAAAACTACAAAAAAAAAAGATGGATTATCCTAACAGTCATTAGGTCATTAAATGAGTAATATCTGCAGCTGAAAAAAATTTCTTGGACCATGAAGCAAAATGGATCCGTAGATCAACACAGACCTAACAAAGAAGATCCAATATATGGCTCAGGGTTTCCAGGGGGTGACCTGTTTATGTAACTGCAGACAAAGGTTACAGGGGAAAGCCACTCTGGCTTGAGGAATGCGTTATTAAAACACTCTTTTATTCATTCGCTCAATAAACATTTATTGAGCATAATACTATGTGTCAGATATTGTCCTAGACACTTAATCATGACAAAGTCCTTGGTCTGCTGGAAAATAAACTTTAACTACAGAGTGTGTGCCAATCAACAAAGGCTGTGATAATAGGTAGCCATAAATTCACTTCAGACAACAAAGTAAAGGAGATATGACGGAATGACCTTTTCCCAGAGATCAACCGAGGCCTCTTTGAAGAACCAGGACATGGGGATGAGGTAAAGTACCAAGAAATAGAGGGAAAGGAGCATGGCCTGCAGCACTCACTAGACCTGAGCATCTTAGCAGGCCAGAGTCGATGACAAGACAAGAGCACTCGCCTGGCAGCCTCAGTGCTGGGGCATCCTTGGAAGGCTACGGGTGTGCTGTATGAGAACCATTGTGGGCGCAGAGGCTGCCTAGGCTGGATGAAGATCGCCTTTACTTCCCTGGCAGATTACATGTGCCCTGTGGAAGTCCCACTAAGAGCAAAACACTGGCAGGCAGTAAATGCACCACACGATGGAAATAGGGCCAGATCCTTTGGCTGTAGGCCTGGGCTTCTTCTCTTTGGTGTTCCTTGACCAAGACAGCCACACAGGCCAGGAGCTCTAGGTTCCATCAAACCCCCGTTTGATGTTAGTTTGAAGGCTTCTAGTGTAAATGAATCTGAAATAGGGGTTGGGAACATGTCACACTGATACACTCCATGTCCCGTGTCAACAGTTGGGTACCCCTGCCAGGCATGGCTGTGGACCAGGAACCCACACCTTCCTTTTTCTTTTTTTTCCCCTTGAGTTTTTTGCATTACATGATTACATTCCTTGTATAGAGATGGTGCATGTATATGCATAACACATCTCACTTCTTGTTTTTCATCCCCTTGTCCCCCTCCTATGATCCTCTTCCTATTTGAAAAAAAAATCTATGTCCCTATTTCCTGTTATCTGTTTTTTATTTTGCTCTTCATTTATATTTTGGTTTTCTCAAATAAAAGAAACTACATGATATTTAAGATTGTGTGTCTGATTTATCTCACTTAATATTATGGTCTGAAGGTACACTTTCACACTTTCTTTTTTTATGATTAGGCCAGGAGTCCCTGCTCTCAGGTTGGGGACCTTGAGGTATAAGTTAAGCTTCCCTACTTTGAAAATCCAAAACCTGAAATGCTTCAAGATCTTAAACACTGAGATAGCATCACAAATGGAAAATTCTGCAACATGAAATCATTATACATAAAATTATTGAAAACATTGTATTAAAATTACCTTCAGGGCTCAGTGATAAAGCAGTCACCCAGAGTGCAACAAGTCCAAGGTTCTATACCCAAAACTAAAAAAAATTACCTCCAAGATACGTGTATAATACATATATAAAGCAAAAATTTGCATTTAAACTTGAGTCATAACCCAAGGTATGTCATTATATATACACAAATATTCCAAAGTCTGAAAGTATTCAAAAACTCAGAGTACTTCTGGTCCCAACCATTTCAGATAAGGGATACTCAACCTAGAAATTGATCTCTCTCAAATTGTCTTTTGTATCATTCTACTGCAGAAGTTTAAACAGAGAGATCTGCCAACACCCCATAAGATATTTGACATCTGGAGATACTGAATAATTGGGACATAGGGTGCTACTGACATCTAGTATATAAACCAGAGAGGATGCTAAAGATCATAAAACATACAGAGTAGCACCCACAATGAAGAATTTTCCTACCTAAAATGGCCACAGTGCTGCTGAGATTGAGAACCCTGGTTTAGGCTAATTGCAGCCTTCCCTGAATACTTGGATGAAATCACTTACCAAAGAAGGAAAAATGAGGTAACAAGTAGTGATCTCCTCAGGATGCCTTGGTTAGAACAGGTGGCAGGTGGTATTCTATAATTGTGTTTGGAACACGTTATTGATGGGAAGCTGGTGTGAGGACATTTCTGGCAGTGGGGACTGCCGTCATCCTGTCTGCCATTCTGTGCCTTCTAACTCAGCCACTGCAAATAAGTGCAAAGCAATGAAGTCTGGAATTAATATGCGTAGGTGACACATAAAATTTGGTGGAGCAGGTCACCTTTGAACCTCCCACTGGCAGATAAATAAAGAACAAGCTACTATAATTTGGATGCTAAATGTTCCCCAAGGGCCCACGTGATTCTTGGGATGGTGCTTCAGGGAAGTGGTGGCACCTTTAGGAAGTGGGACACAGTGAGAAGGCCTTAGGTCACCTGGCTGTGCTCTTAAAGGATGTGTTCCAACCAAGAGGCAAGCACTGTTACTCACCACACACTACACTCCCTGTCACTGCCATCCATCACCTCCACCAGCAACCTACAAACAATGAGTCCAAAATCAAAGCAATATTGACAAAATGAGATAAAGCTGGTGAGTCTGCTTTGTAGACTCCAGCAACCAAATAATTATAAGTATCTGTATAAATACAGATGCTATCATTTTGACAATTAAAAGTTGATACCAACTTTCTTATTAACATTCTTGAAAGCCTATGAAACTTTTGAACTCAAAATGCTGCTTTCATTTGGAATTTAAAATTAAATTTACAAGTGCAGCCTGAAATTTATCATTTCACCTAAATGGAAGGAATGAATGGAATCATTCAGTATGAACCAATGGAGTTTGTCCAGGGATATGAGGCATTTAACATAGGCAAGTTAATAGAAGTGATACATCACATTAGCAGACTAAAGGGAAAACGTATATGAGAACTGCAACAGATACAGAAAAGGCATTTAATAAAACCCAAAATCTCTTCCTGATAAAAACTCAAAAAACTAGTCATAAATGAAATGTACTTCAACACAATAAAGACAACATATAACAAATGTATAGCTAACATCCTAAATAAAGTCAAGAGCTTTCTCCTTAAGACTTGGAACAAGACAAGGATGCCCACTTTCACAGCCTCTATTCAACACAGTACTAGAAGTACCTGGAATGCATAAACTAATGGCATTTTTATACAATAATAGCAGAGTAACTAAAACAAAGCAAGAAAACAAAAAAGAAATACTTTGGAATAAATTTAACCAAGGAGCAGAAAAATACATTGACAATAAACTGGCGACTTTTATAGATAAATGGATACACCTTGTGACTATAATCTTAAGAGAAAAAAAACTAGACTCACACATATAAACATTATACTGTCTCCCTAGTGTGAGAAAATAAGATCTAGACTGCAGCCTTCCAAGGGAAGAACCATCAGCAGCTCCTGAGATCCGCGCCATGTTGGAACTTAGGACACTAGGAAGCCAAGCAAGCACCTCCCCTCCTTGGTAAGCGGTGGCAGTGTGGCAGACTACGGCCCTTCCAGGGCATGAACCAGCAGCAGCTCCTGAGATCCACACCATGTTGGAACCTAGGACCCTCGGAAGCCAAGCAAGCACCTCTCCTCCCTGGTAATCAGTGGCAGTGTGGCAGACTGCAGCCCTTCCAGGGGGAGAACCAGCAGCAGCTCCTGAGATCATGACACCATGTTGGAACTTAGGGTGCTGTGAAACCAAACAACCAGCCTGCCTCCCTGCTAAGCAATAGTGAACCTACTGATGCATGGCCTACAGTCAAATATCCCACTTCCCCTACCCCCTTTCTCTCCCCCACCCCCACCACCCATTAGCAAATGGGAACCAGAAATCTGAGCGTCTCCTGGGAGGTTGACCATAACAAATGAGGGGAACTTCCTTCTACCATCTCTTTGAAGGCAAATATTATTACTGTTTTGCTCTTTTCTGATTAATGGTACTGCTCTATTCAATATTCTGTTTTGATAAGTTCTATAGTGTTCTATATTTCATCTCAATTTGATATACGTGATGGAAAGTACAACTATTATAAACATAACAAAATATACTGATACCTATTACTGTTATCCTGATAACCTGCTGTGAAGTTCTGTACTAATTTCACTGTATGATCGTAGTTGGCTTTATTCTGTCTTGTTCTGTTGTATACTTTCAAAATAAAATTTAAAAAAAGAAAAGAAGATCTAAAATATACAGTAGATATTGTAAAATGGGAAGAAACTGTTCAAAAGGAAAGAGAAGCCAGAATAGAGGAAAGGAAAAAAGAAAGAAAGGAAAAGAAAAAAACACATACGTACACACACACCAAGAAAACTAAACTTAAAATGCTACAAAGTTTTTTACAAAAAACTTAAAATGCTACAAATTTTTCTTAGTTCATTGAAAAGAAAGGTTTGTGCTAATATTGTTTGGACAAATAAATGCCTATAT